TGTTGAGCTATTTACTGCCGTCTAATACATATGTTCTGGATCACCTAATGGTCGAAAGAATGTTTGCCTTTCTCACTCATTAAGAATAATCCAATGCAGACATCTCCTATAAAATCGTCTTGACTCAATGCATTTTAAACAGATTTGATTGTTTCAATTTTACAAAATGAATGTCGTGCCATTTCACCATCTGTTGCTGAATAAAGGGCATTCATTGATTAGTGTTCCAATATTGGAGTGACTGTCTTAAATTTAACTTAAGTACATGAAGTAAAAATCACCAATAATAAAATATTTTAATCAACATTAACTCAGAATGGGACATTATTTAAATTCAAAGGAGGGATAGAGCTTGTGGAGAAGGAATGAGGTGTAAGAAACAAATGTATAAAATAGCAGGCTGTTGATTAAATGCAAATTGAGTATTGTTGGCTAAAAGTAGTGAAAAAAGAGAGATGCAGTTAAAATGAGGGGCAAATAACTGGAGAGGAAGAGGAAAGTAGAATGGGAAGGAAATAAGGTGGGTGAATGTGGAGGGCTTAGAAGAGTAAGTCGTCATCCATGAAGTCCACGCCATATACCACAGTGAAAAGCCATCTCTTCATTTGGTCGGGACTGCAGTCATCTTCATCGGAGTTGACAGTGAAGTAGTCGAGTTGTAATGCATTCTCCGCAGTTATCCTTGCAGTTGGGCAGAGAGTCAATAACCTTAAGTGACAAATTGATATGTGTTTGAGTGTTATCATTAAGTCGATTTGGAAATAACTGTGAGAGGAGGTAGTCAAAGGAAGCAAAGCTCACCTTTCTAGTAGATGATAGGTGACATCAGAGACCGCACGACCAAGGCTACTTCTCAAATGGCTAGTGTGCGTGTCGGGTAATTCCTCCAATTGCATTCCGCGCAATCCACTCACGCCCGGCCACACACTCTCTGTCGGTTTTCCGCAGATCCTCAAAATGCCCCTTATCATCTCGCACTCAGTGGCAAATTGAAAAAGACGTCTTTGCATTATCATCTCCACAAGTACACACCCAGCTGACCACACGTCGATTGCAGATGTGTACTCCTCGCAACCTGTGGAAAGAAAGGCAGTGAGTTGGATGTCTGTGCCAAAGCAATTCCACCGAAACTAAGCGTGATATAGGAGGAAACGGGCTTACCGAGTAGTTGCTCGATGCTTAAGTACCACAGAGAGCCAAAATCATTTGTGTTTTGTAACTGCGTGGAAGTGCATTCAATTGCGTGACAGAAGTCGCAAATCTTTAGAATGCCGGTGTCGGTGACTAGCAAATTACTTGGCTTCACGTTNTAGGTGACATCAGAGACCGCACGACCAAGGCTACTTCTCAAATGGCTAGTGTGTGTGTCGGGTAATTCCTCCAATTGCATTCCGCGCAATCCACTCACGCCCGGCCACACACTCTCTGTCGGTTTTCCACAAATCCTCAAAATGCCCCTTATCATCTCGCACTCAGTGGCAAATTGAAAAAGACGTCTTTGCATTATCATCTCCACAAGTACACACCCAGCTGACCACACGTCGATTGCAGATGTGTACTCCTCGCAACCTGTGGAAAGAAAGGCAGTGAGTTGGATGTCTGTGCCAAAGCAATTCCACCGAAACTAAGCGTGATATAGGAGGAAACGGGCTTACCGAGTAGTTGCTCGATGCTTAAGTACCACAGAGAGCCAAAATCATTTGTGTTTTGCATCTGCGTGGAAGTGCATTCAATTGCGTGACAGAAGTCGCAAATCTTTAGAATGCCGGTGTCGGTGACTAGCAAATTACTTGGCTTCACGTTACGATGTATGATTCGTCGAGCATGGAGATAGGCAATGCCAGAGAGAAGTTGCCTCATGAAGAAGCGCACACGGGAGTCACTGAAGGTGTGGGGCGAATCTCTGGAGAAAGCGATAATGTCTTCGAATGAGTGCTCCACGTATTCGAGGACTAAACAAATCCGCCCCTCTTGAGAAACCACAGTTTCAATGTATTTAATTATATTGGGATGACTGATTTTTGAGAGAATCTCCGTTTCTCTCAAGCGTATGCCACGAGATGACAGGCGGTTGGAGAATTTTGCATAAAGCCACTTGAGAGTGACGTACTTATCCTTCCTGTCGTTTATATCCACTTCTCCTACTCCACAGCCTGCCTTTTCACCTCCTTCCACCGACTTGACAGTGCCTTTGTACGCTTCACAGGTGACGCCACAGCCTATATAGTACTCCTGGCTGTAGTGCTCATCGAACAGTCGAAATGAGCCCAAATTGCGAGTGTTGCATCGAGCGTCTGCGCCAAACTCGTAAGCTGTGTCTGAGCTTGCGATCACCTGAGCGGAAAGAGAAGAATGGCATTCTCCACCAACTCTATTAACCGTCTCTCCACCCTCCTTCCTTCTCCCATTCACTGTTGATTTGCGAGAAATAGCTTCTCTCGTAAGTGCGGTGCCAATACCTCCTTCGGATTTCCTCTTTCTCATCTCTTGCACTTTTGCCCATAAAGCCGGCAGCGAAAATGAAGGACGCATTCCACTGTCACCCACTCCCCTCCCTTTCCTCAGTCCAAAGCATTGTGCTTCCTTCAAACGGCTCACAACCAGGTCTAGACTTCTTTGTGTTTGGGCTGGCAAGTTCATGTAGCTCTTGGACTTTGTTAGCTAAGAACACAAAAAAGGGTTGGATCAAAAAATTGCCACATATTTGTCAAAGTTAAACTGGCTTTCACTCGAAAGGTATTAATTATATTGGATCATATTTTGCCTCGTGATGACAGTTTCGCTCCACCTACTCATACACAATAAAGAAGCTGAAGAAGCTAGACTAGGATGAAAATTAACATTAGACAAGTGAGTAATAGAAACAAAAAATGCTGAAAATCGCATTCAGTTCTTTGATCATTCAGTAAACCTTCATTGAGCAAATTCGGAACCATTTGAACAAATGTTCAAAGTACATATACATCTTATTTTTGAGTGCGCAACTCTCGTCTAACCTATACTTCTCTCTTACATTCAAGTGTACAAGTGAGCAATCTTGAACTCAAACATCTAAATGTCTACAATTTTATCACCTGCCCATCAATGAGAGTTGCAATTTCCCTGGCTCCTTTTATTCCGAATGATTCCATTGCAGCGGCACTCTTCTCAACAGACGCGATCTCTAACTCTGTAATTAAATGGTCCCTTAACTTTAGATAAACAAAGTGCTTATTGTCCAAGTGACTCAGCGATGTACAAAAGTCTATTGCTTTTCGCAAGAAATACATAATTTCCAATGTCTAATTTAAATTTAATTTAAAATAAATATTATGAATTTCTTTGATTTCTTCGCACAATTTTTTGGTTGAAATTTTGCAGAGTCCATTGGGTGCTTTTTAATTTCCTTGCTTTTATAAGATTTGCTTCCCCTAGGTCACTTACTATTACGATTTCACGAACTCACACTGCCATCTTACATCAATTATCAATAAATTGAAAGAAATATTTCAAACACTCACAGTTTTGCTGTTCAAGTTGTTTCAATTCTGATACGAATTTCAAAGCACACACCAAGTTCAATGCAATGCTGCGAACCTACAATTTAAATTGGTCAGAAATTCAAAGATGATTTGCAGAGCATTTGGAGCGATTGGTTTACTTGAAGGGTTTTTGAGGGAAATATTTTGTCAATCTTTCAAACTTGATTAATGCGACCTTTGACTTTTCAGTTCGTTTAGAGTTCAGTCGTCTTGGCGTGTGATAGAGATGCTTCTTTGGCAGTATCCAGGCTCTAACGATGAGACCCACCAGAAGAGTGGAATTGAAAAGTGGCCAATGCTTTGAACATGACTTGACTTTTACTAAATAATATTCAGTGCACTATTAACTTTGATGTGTTGGTATTGGTTAGTATGAGTTGGCTTCAATCACCACGAAGATAACTTCAATCACAGTGAATATCAATAAGGCCGAATTTTGCACTTGATAGATATGTCCAACTAGTTTTATACTGCCAGCATTATAGTAGAAGAAGCAGAATGTTCCAAATTGGAAACTGGCATAAATGCATTATCTATGCAATTAAATTAACGAAAATTGTAACTTACCAATAAAAAGTTAATGATTATTGCATTTCCTTGGACTATGGTTCCAAACAGGAAAACTTGGAGAGGGCCTTGTGCTTGAAATGGGTCAAAATTATTTTCAGCTGAAGTAATTTTGATTGTTTTTTTAAGAAAATTGTAGAATCAATACCAGAGTGGAAGTAATTGTAAGTGAGATTCGAAACGCATTCAAGCATTCTTATGTCTGGAGTTTCATGCATTGCCTTTTGGTGTTAGAATTGATCTCTTCAATGGAGGAATGGCCCGTATGATACGATTGGCAAGGATCGCGCACACACCCTCTTTTTGTCTATAATTTACAAAATCCATTCACAGTAATCCTTTCCAATTGATTTACCCTCGTCGTGTATATTAGTGTATTACTATTGAAGTCATATGGACAAGGAATATCCACATTGATATTTCCAATTCGGCATGCACTTCCTGCTTCATTTAGCACGTATTCTTCTTATAAAACAAAAAAGACACGCAGTGCTCTTTTAATCAGAAATAAAATATTTCCGCTCTGTGTTTATTTAAACTACTATTTATTGGGTTGGCAACTAAGTCATTGCCGTTTTTGTTGACGGATTCACTCTATACTTTCTTTTGTTTTGTTAACGTGGCCAGAGCATCTAATCTATATTTTTTTCGTACTGTATGGGCTTCTAGGTTAATTAGTAAAAGATTTTTTTGTTTAGTTCTTTAGTTTTGTTTTTATCTCAATTTAAAAATGAAAGAACAGGACGTGCACTTCCGACACATTTTATTGTATTACTTCCGAAAAGGCAAGAACGCATCGCAAGCACAAAAGAAGTTATGTGCCGTATATGGAGATGAAGCCTTAAAAGAAAGGCAGTGTCGAAATTGGTTTGAAAGATTTCGTTCCAGTGATTTTTCACTGAAAATTCACAACGATCTGGCCGCCCAGTCGAGGTGGATGAAACCCATATCAAGGCCATTATCGATTCAAATCGTCACAGCACAACACGAGATGATATTGCAGAGAAGCTGCTCAATGTGTCGCATACATGCATTGAAAAAAAATTGGCATAACCCTTGGTTATGTCAAGAAACTTGATTTATGGATCCCTCACCAGCAGTTAAAGGAAATTCATTTGACGCAACGGATTAGCATCTGTGATTCGCCGCTACTGAAACGCAATGAGAATGATGCATTTCTGAAGAACCTAGTTACTGGCGACGAAAATTGGATAGTTTATAACAATGTTACTTGCAAGAGATCATGGGTGAAGCAAGATCAACCAGCCCAAACAGTATCAAAAGCAGCAGAGATTCACCAAAAAAAAAGATTATGCTGTCAGTCTGGTGGGATGACAAAGGAATTTTGTATTTTGAACTCATGCCGCAGAACCAAACGATAAATTCAAATGTGTATGTTGAACAACTGGAAAAACTGAAGGATGCAATTGAAGATAAGCGGCCGACATTATCAAATCGACGGAAGGGTGTTGTTTTCCATCATGATAACGCAAGGCCCCACACATCTTTGGTTACTCGGCAAAAATGATTGGAACTAGGTTGGGATGTTTTGTCACACCCACCATATAGCCCTGACCTTGCGCCTTCGGATTTTCATTTGTTTCGTTCCATGCAAAACTCTTTAAATGGTAAAATTTTTAACAACGCGGATGATGTCGGATCACACCTAATTCAGTTTTTTAATAGCAAAGACCAGACATTTTACGAACGGGGAATTTTTACTCTGCCAGAACGATGGAAAAAGGTCATCGACAAGAACGGCCAATATCTAATTGAATAAAGTTATATTTTTAAACAAATATTCCAAATTTACCTTCTTATTTGAAATCGACAATGACTTAGTTCCCAACCTAATTAATAGTAGTAGTTCTATTTTCTATCACTTTGATATTAACATTTAATCAAAAATTTTTGCTTTAAAGCAATGATCCCAAATAGTCCCAATTTTTGGACGAAACAACTGCTAATTTTCAATGAATTTAAAAGACAAACTCACAGTTCCATAATTTGTTTAATTTTTCGTTGTGTGAAACCCAAAAATTTGCAATATTAAATTATGAGTTTAGGTGGTTGCGATGGTAGATTGAAACTGGCATTAATGAGGAATATTCTCTCTAAAAAAGTAATATGGTTCATTTTACATTTATTTGCTGATATAAGTAAAGTTTGCAAGTCTTTTTATATGTGCAGCGGATTGCTACGCTAGTAAAGCCTGACTGACTCAGAAATCTCTATGGCAGTTTCTCCAACATCTAGCTAGACTCCCAGAAGCAGCTAAGCTATTGTCCAGCTATGAAAGGAAACAGACGTGTAGCACGGAGCACGTTTATTTAGTAAGTGAATTGCGGATAAAGTGTACACGTTGGGGGCTTAATCATGATCAGGATGGCGGATTAGGTAAAAAAAGATGTAAATGATTGGTCACTGTTTGTACGGTCGCTGCACACCGAGTTGTACGGCCGTACCTCCCAATCCTGACGAGCAGACTGCAGGCATACGATGACGCACACAGCGATAACGTGTCCCACAATACTCCCCCCTAGAGCGTTGTAGAGAGCTGAAAGGTAAAGAAAACGCTCGATAATTAGTTAATGTACAAAATCAACGAGTCGGGAGGGGAAGGTAAATCTTCGGCCTTAGAGTACCAGGGTTTTGGGTAGAGGTGGGATAGGTGTTGGAACTGCTGAGACCGGATTGTTGAAGTGGGAGGCAGTGGGATTGTGGACTTGGTGCATGCTTGTGGATCTTGCCGGCTGGGGGAGTGAGGCAGTATTTGGTCCACTGACGAGCGTCCTGTTGGATGTTCCTCCATATGCAATGATTAATGTTCAACGTTCTTGCTGAACGGATGTTTAGTTGCAAAAATCCATGATCGAAATCTTCCGGCGTGTGCTTACTTGCCGATTGGTCTGGGCTTGCCGGTTGAAACGCAATTGTGAGTTGGAGTTTTGGGGAAGCACAAAGCGATAACGTGTCCCACAAAACTTTACCCATTTTTACTAATAAAAAAACATTTGCTTGTTCATCTAAACACGCTGTTAAATCATGAGATGTAGGAGGTTGCGATGGAAGATTGAAACTGGCATTAATGAGAAATATTCTCTCTAAAAAAGTAATATGGTTCATTTTATATTTACTTGCAGATATAAGTAAAGTTTACGAGTCTTTTTATATGCATCATATGGTTTTGCAGACATCTTCTCACATTATTGTTGCAGCAATCATTGGCTGGACAAAGAAGTCTATCATTTGACAGACCGTCGTTGTGTCTGTTGTGATCGATCCACCGGTACCTTCTAATCGTGTATGCAATTAAAATTCTTCAAGGCAACTTAAAACCATAATTTTTAAAAGTGATTCGAGAGTAAATTCGAAGCATTTTCGAGTTAAAAATAGATAAATAAATTGGTAGGTTTAGCGGATTGCTACCTTATTAAAGCCTGACTGACTCAGAAATCTCTATGGCAAACTCTCCAACATCTAGCTAGACTCCCAGAACCAGCTAAGCTATAGCCCAGCTATAAAGGTAACAGGCGTGTAGCACGGAGCACG